GTAAATAACATTCCGGCGGGCATGGCGAAACGAAGATAAACTACTCCTGGCGTTGTCCGGTCAAACGCATTTTTGCTCAGACAAGACCCATTTTCGATCGGTCAAATATCAAGTGTAAATAGGTAGCTTTAGAATGATGCGTAATGAACATACAGTCGCTTTGAAAGAAAAATCTGTATGAGCCTGCGAATGTATCCGTTTCTCATCGCTCTTCGCCGCTAGGGACTTTTCGCAGGAAAGTCTCCCTTGAGAACATTCCCTCGCGGCGAAGAGCGATGAAAGACGGCTACATTCGCAGACTAAATCTTTACACATTGCGAATGAAGTAATGTGCTCTTTCAAACAAAAAACCACCAAGTAAGAACAGAATAACACGGCTTTTGTAGTACGAGTTGACTTAAAATGTACTGAAGAATCCACAGGCGGCCCAAACTCACTTTGCGAGAAAAGGTTGTAATGTAATTTACATAACATAGGTGACGCGCCGGTGTCGCGTTACAGGCGACCGCTGAAAATACAAGAGACTTTGAGAAATAAATTACTGAGATCTGCGAACGCTAAATAACGCTAAAGCTTACTCTTTCTTAAATGAAATGAATAAAAAAGTCTTACCTGCAATCTATTCCACTGCGTTTTGGTGTCTGTTTGTCGTTTTACTGTTTTTTTGGCTTTATTGCGTAACCGCTGTTACTCCTTTGATAGAACGAAGGAGTAACAGCGGTTACTCCCTTTTTTTGAAACACGGCTCCGCCGCCAAAACTTTAATCACGCACCCACACAATACCGCCAGCTACGCAGGCTACCTTTTCTCGCAACGTGAGTTTGGGCCGCCTGTGAAGAATCAAGCTCTGACAAAGCTTTATTATTGGTACAAAGAAACTAGGAAAGTCATAAAAAAAAATCCTAATATTTAAGAAAAAATGTAAAAATGAACCTACAGACGGAAAGCTGTATATGACTTAGACTGTTCCAGGCTCAGCTAGGCTCTCAGATAGTAGGGATAACGCGTAAGGGAATATTTTTGTGTTCGCACTTTTCCCGACTATCTCGGAGCCTGGAATAGGCTACACATTGCGAAGCGGTAACGTTATGCATGACAATTTACAAGAGAACCGGTTGTAGTACGGAAAAGCGGTAAGAAGACTAATACCGTACAACAAATGACTATACGGAAATGTGTCATAAAGACAGGGCTAATATCGTAAAATTAAACGAAGAAATGTTTAAAAGTGGAAAATACTGATGCTTAATTCACGTCTCACTCTACCACGAGCTCATGAGTCGACTTCAGGGACGTAGCCAGGTTTTTTTCAGAGATACGCACAATTACCCAAATGCCGCTGACAAATGTAATCTAGCGGTATCTCAGACTTTTATTTGCAAATGAGTGATTCTTTTACCGCTATTTGCCACATTATTTTTGACCGACGAAGGCTAGCACCCTATGTTGATGTAATGCACCTATCAATGTAAATCCCGTGGGGGGGGAGTGCGGGCAAGGGGAGGGGATTTGATGCCTGGGACTATCCCCGCTATCGGGCTTTTGATCGTGCGAAGCGACCCCGGGGTCGGGACATTTAACTTTGACCGACAGAAGCCTGGTATCAATTCAGAAGCAGTTACCAAGTCCGTCCCTCGAGTAGCCTGAGATCATGCCCTCTCCCTATTATCCCTTTATGTCTCTCACGGGAAGAGGGCATGATACATTTCTTTGTCGGATCACATGTAAAAAAGCCAGAATCTGGACTTTTTTCTGATTGGATAGGAAACAATACGGATGATTTGCGCTGTTCCGATTGGCCAAAATGCCGCCATCCGTTAGTTGTTGTTGATTTCAGTCCGCATTTTTGCTTGCGTAATGAGCAGTGAATACAGACGCGAGTTCGTTATGAAATTTCTTTAGGATTGCTTCGAGTCGTTTTCTCCTCTCAACAACTGAGGGAGTAATAACGACTCGAAGTAATCGGATGAAGTTCAGGCTAAGTTTTCTTGAATTTGAAGAATGCCTAAATAGAAGTTTCATCCATTGAAGTCATTGAAATATTTTCCATCTCATCGTATACTAAAACAGTTGCAGTCAAAACTTTACCGATCATTTGAATGCAATTTGATACCGGCTACAAGTTACAGAAGCGACAAACGGGTTCACTTTTCAAATAATCAATTCATGAATGGAATCTTGACCTGGTTTGACTGTAATTCCTCTTTCAGAAATCATGCTGCGAATTATTCTGAGCGATCGTCGCGTTCACAACACCTTTCAGTTCGTGAAATATGGTGCCTCAGCCAAATTTTTCTTTTCACTGCTTTCGGCACAGAACGAAGTCAACGAGCTTTAACCAGTAAAGATCAGTACATTCTTTATTATTTGTAGCTGTTAAATAAAGGTACAGCAGCTTCAGCTAGCAGTATTTCATCACAAAAACAACACATTAAAATAAGCGCCATCTGAACATGGACGTACTTAAAAATTTTATTTTCCCTAAAATTGATTTCAAAAGAGACATTATTCGCGCCAAAATTTGATTGCCGTACGGTAAACGCTTATTGGCTAATAACATGACAGGTCAAGCAGACGTTAGATTATGTAAATTAGGGGGCGATTGACGGCTTGTTAAATAAATGTATCAGGCGTTATTTTTTTCCCTCTCGAGCCAAAGAAGCAAAGAAGCAAATAAAAAAAATTAAAAAATAAAATAACGCCTGATCTCAGGTTATCCCTCGAGGCTTCCTGAAAGTCACGCTGTTGGAGAAAGGTATGAAGTTTTCATTTGTTTTAATCGCCATAATCCGATACTTTAAACTGTCATCTAAACAGATAATGTCTATTTTGAGAAAGTTTTTATCTTCAAGTTCCCATCTGATTGTAAAACTCGATTGAAATCGAATTCCACCATGAAAGTCAGAGGATTTTTTATGGGTCACTGATCCGACCTGTTCCGACATGTTGAGCAGATGTTATAAAGCATTTTAAGTTTTATTCATATTATATAGCACGGTCAATCTTCCTGGAGTGATTTTGTTGTTCAAGATAAGGGATGCTAGTGGAGAGAGAAAATACTTAATTACAACGAGTAATTTAATGGAGCTTCCGTTAACCGTAAATAAAAGTAGTAACAACGTGTTTGAAATGTTCTTTTATTCGTTTTATATAGTATTATAGCATTGTTTGTTT